CCCCGCGGGGGCTGTGGGGTCTGGGGCCTGCGGGTCTGCGGGGCCAGCTCCCCAGGGCCAGCCCGCCGGGTGTGGCCTTTCGGGCGTCGCTGCCCCTGCCCGGCCCGTGAGGTCTTCGTGGCAGGGCCGGGAGCGAGCCCGCCTGGCTCCCCGCGTCGCCCTCCGGAGTCGGATTGTGGTCCCTTCGTCTTAAAAAGCGTGAACTGCAGGGCTGTGGGGTCTGGGGCCTGCGGGTCTGCGGGGCCAGCTCCCCAGGGCCAGCCCGCCGGGTGTGGCCTTTCGGGCGTCGCTGCCCCTGCCCGGCCCGTGAGGTCTTCGTGGCAGGGCCGGGAGCGAGCCCGCCTGGCTCCCCGCGTCGCCCTCCGGAGTCGGATTGTGGTCCCTTCGTCTTAAAAAGCGTGAACTGCACCAGTGACAGCCCTTGGGATAGGCAGGCTGGTGACTTTGGGGGCTGAGATGGAGGCCGGGGTTTCTTGGGCGTGGGGTCGCGGGCACCCAGCCAGAGTGCCCGACCTGACTCGTGGTTGGTGTGCAGCTGCTCTCCTGAGGTTAACGTCAGAATGTGTTGGTGTGCTGGCCTCCAGTCGCTGAGGGAGGTTCTAAGGAGAGCCCTAACGATCTAATGGGAACCCATTTTGCTGGGCGTCACCAAACCTGAAATACAGCTCTTGCCACTTGGTTGCCGGTTGGGTGACCTTGGATGGTCACTTAGCCAAGTCACATTCCATTAGGATGAAATCGCTGTTCCTAGTAGAAGGGCCTGCACTTGCTTCTTACCTAGATACTAGAGGATTTGATGGTGATTGACTGGAATGAAGCACCTGGGAATAAATCCCTTAAAAGGTCAAGGTCATAGCATTCCCAAGAGAGCTGTGGCTGAGCCTTAGTGATACTGGATTCTTTTCCTAGGGGGCTGGGGACTTTTCCTCTCCTCTCTGTAGGGCCCCAGTGTCCCTGTCCACCTCGGTGGTGACCGGTGGTGGTGGGTACAGTGTGGCTGGGTTGCTGTGAGCTCTGAGCCAGCCTGCTGGGTTTGAATCCTGCCCCTGTGTTCACTACTTACTGGGAGACCTCAAGCAGAATCCTCAACTGCTCTGAGATCATTTACTCCTGTCAAATGTAGGTAAGTGAGCACCGATGTCACCTGAGTATGAAACGGGGACTCATGTTAGAAGGTACACAGCTGAAGTCAGCTGCCCTGCTGAGGGCATTGTCACAGGAAAGCAGCATTATCTGCTCCTCTACAACCAGCAGTCAGTCGGCGCTCTGTCTGGGCACCCCTTCAATGAAGGAAGGGACACATACCAGGCGCCTGTTTGCGGGACCCCTTGCCTGAGGCCCTCAACTAAGCATCACCAGGGTTGGTGTTTAGCCCTCCTCCCAACTCCCCAAAAAAGGAGGCATTGTGAAGTAACTGTAACTGCTGGCCTTTCGTCTCACCTAGTCTGCCATCAGCATCGTCATTTGAACTGACAGACAGAGTTCAAAGGTCAGAACTGTGGCGGTTTGTCATTTTTGGTCCCGGCGAATGTGAGCAACATCAGGCAGAAAAGGATTTCTTCTTCAAATCCTCCTCTGTTTCATAATCACGAGTGTAATTTGAGTTCAAGTTATTAAACAGCCTTCGATTAAAATCGTCTTGCAGATACACAGGTAAAGAAATATTGTAGTGTCATTTCAAACGAGCTTGCCAGATTTAAAAAACATTTACTTCTTTTCTAGAAAGGTGGTAAAAGCAATTTTTGCAGCCAGAGGGGCTCCTCGCACCATTTCCCCTCCCAGCTTATTTAGAGCCCATGTAATAATTCCTCTGTTCTGTTGACATACGTGTCAGTGCTGAGTTAACAGTTTTCCGGATAATTCCTAGTGGATAATGAGGAGGTTTCCCTGGCTAGAGATTCTTGACTTAGAAGTGTCTGTCAACATAGAACCTAGCAGAGCGCTGGCGGAGCTGATGGCTCGGGAGCTGTGGGGCGCAGTGGTGAGCAGTGTCCAGACAGGTGTGGCAGAGTGTGGGGGGGTGCAGTTTAGAGGTCAGGAAGGAGGGCTGGGGGCTCAGGGGCTGGGGTTCTGGAAGGTGCTTCCTGTGCTTCTCTAGTCCAGAGCACACTGTCCTGCAGGGCGACAGGGACGGGCGTATGCGGGACCGAGTCCCAGCCAGCGAGACCTGGGACACGCGGGGAGTCCTCACTGTTCAGAGGGCTGGTGCCTCTGCAGGGCGTCCCCCAGCCTCGGGGCAGGGCCGGGAGCACCTGGGGGCCTAGGGGCACTTCCGCATGGACCTCCTGCGGAAGCAGAGCTGCTGCCTGCATGCTCACCGGGCACCCCCTCCCTGCTGGCACCCTGTCCCATAGTGGGCTGCGCTGGCACCCGCCTTCCCTGCCTGTGGGCCGGATGATTCTCTGTCACAGGCTATGCATTGTGGGACGTTTAGCAGCACCCCCAGCCTCTACCCACCGGATGCAGGAGCATGTCCCCCAGATGTTTCCAGACATTGCCAAATGTCCCCTGGGGGGCGAGATCACCCCGGTGAGAACCCCTGGAACAGATCTGGCTTTTCAGAGCTGGTTTTATGTCCTTATTACAAGGGGGTGGTTCACCAGACCTGCCCTGTGCTCTGGCCCTGGCTGCCGGCTGCTGTAGGTTGTGCCTCAGGCCTCTGTTGGTGGCAGGGCAGGCACTCGGGTGCCTAGCCCACCAACTTAAACTGGAACCTTTGTTTTAACTTTGTTTTTAGAAGTATTTTCTGACTACAAAAGTAATTTGTGTTTATTCTCCAAATTCTTCTGCAAATCCTCCAGTCAGTATTTTGGTGTGTTTCTGTTTTTTCCCTTCAGATAGCGGCACAGAGACCTTTACCACCCGAGTGGGAGTCTGCACAGCCCAAGAGAAGGGGCCTGGCACTGTCACTGGGCCACCTGGCTCCGGGTCCTGGTTGCTCCCTGAGTCTCACCTGGGCCCACCTCCACCCTTGCCTGGTGCCTCGTCTCGGTGCCCCAGCCAGGGGTTCCCGAGCTTGGGGGTCCCCAGCATGGCTCAGCTCAGTCCCCACCTCCTAGCTGTTCTCTCCTCCTCATGGGTAACAGGCTGGGGAGCGTGGGGCGTTGTCCCTGACCGGGTCTGTAGGTGACAACTCTACTCTTGTGTCCTCGAGTTCTCCACAGGACTGTTTAAGTTTCCTGGGGACAGTTGTTGACCAGGTACTGCCCTGCAGTTCAGAGCCTGGATTTGTGCTTGTCGTAGACAGTCCCATGTGACTTTCAGGGCAGTTTTCCAGGATTGGCCTCGGTTGGATTTGGGGACGGTGCGTTCTCCCACTTGAGACTCACCGGTAGGCGTGAAGTTGGGCTTTGGTCCCAGGCCTGCTCCGTGTACTGGAGAGTGGCCGGGCAAGGCCTCGGCTGCTGCTTGCATGAGGGTTTTGCATGTGGCACTGGAGACTGCCCGTGTGTCCCTTCCCCTCCTCTCCAGGCCTCCACCAGGTAGGCCTTCACGCTGTCCAGTTCCTGCCTGGAGCCTCGTGAGCCTGACCCACCCAGGGCACCGCTGAAGCTGCCGCCCGTGGACCCCGCTCCTCGCCCGGCAGTCGCAGCCCCTGGTGGGTAGCGACCCACACGACAAGACTCCAGCCGGTGCATCTGCCTCCTGAGCCTGGGGCGTCGCGGCGGGGCGGGCCCGGATGACGGAGGGTGCCCGCTGGTCGCAGGCAGGCTGTGTCTTGAAAGTATTATTTAAAACAGACGTCAAGTCAAGAAAAGAAAGGGCTTTCTAGTGTCAAGTTCTCGTGACTGATGGGCTGAGCTACAGCACTAACCCTGGCCCTGGGCAAGTGGCAGCAACAGGCAGGGGACCGCTGGCTTCAGGGTCTGAATGGCCCTGGCAGCTGAACGCATCGCATCTGCTCTGTCAGTGTCCTCGTGACAGACCTGGAGGTGGGTCCCATGGGTGCCTCTGTCTCACAGTGCATGATGGGAGGTGCTAGGGTCCCTCGCTCTGCGGCAGCCCTGCAGTCTCTGAGCACCGGGCAGTGCTGGGGGTGCCAGGATATTGCCAAGCAGAAGACAAGGAGGGTCCCTTCTGAGAGGGGGACATTAAATGAGTGGGCACAAACATGGGCCTTCGCAGACCCTAACCCATCAGTGTGACCTTGGGGAGCCCCAGGGTGCCCCCCTCTGTGAGCCAGCTGCCTCCTGGTGCCCCTCTGCTCCGTGGTAGTGCCCCAGCCAGGGCCTCCAGGTGGCCCTGGGTGTCCCAGTGCTTGTGGCCGCCTCCGGCATGGTCCTGGTCGGTGTCCAGGCCCCCTCACCAGGCTCCTCCCAGGCTCACAGCCACCGTGCACCCTCTCTCTGACGCATCCTTGCTGCGACCTCTCTGTCTTGGTGACCTGTGTGGTCTCGTGCTGTGAGGACCCCACCGGCGTCCAGAAGCACATCAGCTTCCTCACCTGATCTCGGCAAGGGACTGCGGCACGCACAGGTCTGAACTTTGACCTAACCGCTCTCCCCAGACCTGCCCCCACCACGGCCTTGTCTCTGCTTGGACAGTCCTGGCGTCCTGGTTGGCACAGGCCAGGACCTTGATGTCAGCCTTGACCCTTCTGTTCTCCCAGCTCACACTGGCCCCCCAGACGCCCTCTTCGCCCTCCCTTCAGCGTACCCGAGCCTCACCGTGTGTCCCCCATTCCCCCTCCCCTGCCGCCATGCCCAAGACCACCATCTGTCTGGACCGAAGGAGAAGCCTGACTGGGCTCCTGCTCTGCTATGCCCAGCAGCCAGCGCATCGCCGCATGGCGCCTTCTGCTCTGGGAGCTTCCAGTCTTCCCGGGGTAAAGGCCACGGTTGCTAGAGTGGCCCCAGGCCCTTTGCGACGTGGCCTCCTGCCTGCCCTTCCGCTGCCCCGCGTCGCCTGCTCCTGGGTACTTCGTCACAGCCGCCTCCCTGCTGATACCAAGACCCGCCTTCGCGCTTGTTTGCTCCGCCCGGAGCCCTTTCCCCCAGACGTCCACGGGGCTCGCTCCCCGGCCTGCTCGGGGCTCTGCTCAGGGGCCACCTTCTCAGCGAAAGCCCTTGTTCAAGCGGAAGCCCCTTTGTCTCTCTCCTTAGTCGCTGCTTCCACCTGCTGTATCACATTCCGCTTCGTTCCTAACCAGCGGGTTCGAAGCTCCGTGGAGCCGGGGGAGAAGTAACGCTTGGATTAGACGAGCTGTTTGGCGTTCCCGTGGCAGCACCCTGCACGGCGGGAGAAATTGGAACAGACGCAAATGTAGCTGATCGAATGGGGGAGACGTAACAGTTTACGAACCCAGAGAACAAAAGCCAGCTAACTGGGAACCAATGACAGTGAGAAAGGTCAACGCCATAACTGCGCAGTTGCCACTCATGCAAAACTTGGTCACTTTTCTGTACACTAGCAACAACCAGTTAAAGCCCATCGTAGGAAATTCCCCGTTCACAGTGACCTAGCGAATGCCACGGCAGGGTTTAGCCCTCCCAGGCAGCGAGGTGCGTGCCGCGGAGGAGATGGCCTGAGGGGAGACTGGCTGCAGCAGAGACCGTCATGTTTCTGTTTGAAAATACTAGTGACAGCTGTAAGGGACCGTGAGACCGTTCCTACTTATCATGCAGGAATAGCGAAGGGGACCGGAGGCCGCTTGACACCAGAGTGGGGTAGAAGCTGCTAGAGTAGCAGCCTTGTGGCAGAACTGCTGGCTCCTGTTTACGTGTTGTGTCTAAAAAGTGAGAAGTTGTGTGTACGAATCGAGCGCGGAGCCCACGCGTGCGCTTCCTGTTGCGTTCGGTCAGTGAGCCATCCCGAGGGCTGAGGGAGGGCACTTGACCGCACGGAGGCATGGCCCTGGCCCCCCATCGTGCTGCCGGGTGCCGTGCTGCGTTGTGTGCAGCTCGCTGTGTTTCCCATTTACTGCCCTTTCTGGAATGGACCGGTGGCATGGGAAGGTGTCTGCAGGTGATGAGCAGGTGGCGGCTGAGACGGTCGAGCGAGCCCCAAGGGGAGCATGCAGGGGCTGCCGCGTCCTCCCACCTCGGACTTCCCCAGCCGGTCACTCTGTGAGGTCAGAGCCTGCTGCGTCACGGCCCCTCAGAAGTCAGCCAGACGTGTGTCATTCTTTAAGAAGCCTGTTTAAAGTGGGGGATTCGAACCACTCCTGTCCTTGGTGAGCCGCCCTCGGGGTACATGCTCAGCTCAGGGTAGCATGAAGCCACCGTGATTTCGAGACTGTCCCATGCCACACACGAGAACACGAGACAGCTCTCCAGAACGGAGAGGGGTGTGTGCTGCCATTCGGGGCTCAAGGAAATGCTTTAGAAGATGTCACTGGCATTGTGATAAGTGTTTAGAAACCTCTTCTGAGGTTTCTTAATTGTGAAAGATAAAAGGCCTCATGCAGTGGGGAAACCCTACCTTCCTGTGCCGGTAAAGATGGCTGAAAACATGAGCATGACAAATGAAGATGCATTTCTCTGTCAGCAAACACTATCCGCAGAGCCGCAGCCAACATGGAGAGGGGCTGGAGACGCACCGGAAAGCAGACGGCACTGTGCGGGGGCACCGCGGGGGCACTGGACGAGAGCGCAGGTGCTTCATAGCAGTCTCAGCTCGCGGTGTCTGCCAGGTCGTTTCAGCGGTGAAAACTGGAAGGATTACTTTTCGTGAGTCGCTGAAGGGCACAGATGGACGTGCTGGGGAAAAGGTAATGTCAGCAAACTCAGGGGAGGAGCCCTGTGGCCTCAGAGGCTGCCGTGCAGCACGGTGCCCCGGGAAAGCTGGGTGGCTTTACGTCTTTGGTATAGCCAGAGAAAATTGAACCAGGACTGAAAAGAAAAACGTTTAAAAACCCACCAAATGTGAACCTTGAGCTGATTCAGATTGATGAGGAAGATCTGAGATATCTCTTCCCTCTGGAGTGTCGGGCAAGGGGCACAAACAGAACGTGGAGGAGGAAAAGTGTGTTGCATTGAATCATGGGAAATCACTATTTTGCAGGATGACCAATGGGGCTAGAGCAGTTAAAGGTCTTTGAAAAAATTCACATGAAGACCAGGGAGCTGTATTGGTGAGTTCCGTCAAATTTTTAAAGACCTCACACTGATCCTTCACAAACTTCCAAAAAATGGAAGAGAGAAATTTCCCAACTCGTTTTATGAGGTCAGTATTACCCTGACACCAAAACCAGACAAAAATGCCCCAGGAAAACGACAGACCAGTATCCAGATGAGTGGATATAGGCCCAAATTCTCCACCATGGTAAAACTCAAGACCCTTTCACGCTGGCACTCGACATCCCAGAATGGAAGAGGACTTCTCCGCCTGGCCAGAGTCTTCTGGACACCCACAGCGGGTGTCGTGCTTCGTGGCGACTGACCGAAGACTTTTCCCCTGGGGTCAGCAAGGAGACGGGCGCGCCCTCTCTCCGGACCATTTGCCACCGCGCTGGGGCTTCTGATCAGGGCAGCTGGGCGGGGGGAAGAAACGCGTTCAGACTGAAAGGCAGGAAGAGGGGTGTGTGCAGGCGAAGCGCTCTTGTGTGTGGAACGCCCTGAGGAGCACACACACCTGTCAGAACTGAGACTAGATCGGCCAGGCTGCGGGCACATCAGCATGTCACGTAAGTCGTTTCTGCACCTTAGAAGTGAACAAGCAAAACAGAAATCAGACTCTCATTCATGATAGCACCAAGAGTAACGAAACATTTAGGAATAAGACTTACTGTTGAGATGGCAACAGTTCCCAAATTGGCATACAGATTCGACAGTCTGTACGGAAATCATAGCTAGCTCTTTTGCAGAAACTGACACGCCAGTCCTAAAATTGGTATGGAAGTGTGAGGGACCCGGAGTGGCCCACAGGGACCCGAGCCAGCCCAGGCCATTGGAAGAGACGGGGCAGCTCACCAGGAACAGACATCTCACTCGGTTCTGTTGGGTGATGTCCGGGTTGGCGCAGCACAGTGCCGGGGCTGCGGTGGGTCCCCTTTCAGGGTGCAGACTGCCACCCTCTACCCGCGCGTGTGCGGAGCGGGCGCTCCCAGTCCCGTCGTGCACAGGCTGCACCCTCAGGACCAGTCGCCTCCTGCAGGCCCCCCTCCAGGCACTGCTGCCCGGGGTGGGCGATCCTCACTGGGTAGTGGGAGCATCTGGACGCTGCTCCCCATTTCCCTCCCCCACCGACACTGTCTGCTTCTTGCCTGTGCAGGTGTGAGGGCCCCAGGGACCGCATGCAAGGGGGATCGTAGTGTTCGTGCGTGTGGCTGGCTGGCTCCCTTGGCGCCCTGCCCCCCTGTCCGTTGTTTAAGGCTGAGTGACATCCGCTGGGTGAGTTCTCTCATCCACAGATGGACACCGGGTTGCGTCTACTCCGACACTGACTGCCAGCCCTGCGTGCGGGCGTCTGAGACCCCATGTTCGGCTTGGGTCGCAGCACCTCCAGCGGCACGCATGCGCCCCTCCGCGGGTTTTCCCATAAGCAGACAGGCGGCCGTGCACATCCCTGGGTTTCTCGCCCACGCATCCAACCCTCCACCAACTGAAAACGGCCCCGAGGTTTGGAGTCCACGTGGGTGGAGGGTGGACTTCGGGTGCGCACGGGTGTCCGACTGCACGCGTCGGCGCCCCGACCCCCGCGTTTCGTGGGTGGGCGCTGCGTGTACCGGGACGTGGGGCTGCTGGGTCGTGAGTTTGGAGGAACCTCCGGGCTGCCCTGCACTGCAGCGGCGCAGATGCGCAGTCCCGCCGGGGCTCCAGGCCGCTTTCGGCGTGCGGGGCGTGCTCCAGCCTGCGCTCCGGCCTGCGCTCTGGCCTGCGCTCCGGCCTGCCACCTTTTCCCCTGTGCACGTGCGCGCTGGCGTGGACGCAGGGAAGCTTCTGGACCCGTCCTGTGCCCATATTCTAATCAGGTTAACTGGGATTTTGTCGAGCTGGAGGAGTTCCTGTTCTGCATGTTGGTCCCGCCTCAGTTATGTGGTTTACACGTTTTCTCCCGGTTGTTTCGTTGGCTTCACAGCAGTTTTAAGTTCGATGTGGTCCAGTTTGTCTACTTCTGATTATGTTGCCTGTGCATTTAGGAATACATTTTTACTTTTCCTGTTTTGGAACTTTCCCGAAGCCTGTTACGTTTCCAGTCACGTTATCCCCATTTACGTAGGCAGCGTCTTTCTTCCTTTCCGGCTGTCTTTTTGTTGGTCTGACTTTAATTTTTAGTGCTTTTCTCTTCACTGCCGTTTCCTGTGACTCCCAGCATCTTACCACATGGGTTTTATAATTTCGTTTGGCTGAGCACCATCCTGGAGCAACTTTCCTCCCGGAAAGGGCCTGTGGGCGCAAAACTTGGAGCCCTTCATACTCCGGGGGGGTCTTGATTCATTCATTCTTGATTCTTCCCTCGTTCTTGGACGGTCGCCTGGCTCGGTGTTGGATCTTTGTTTCTGGAAGTCCACCCTTCGTGTGGCAATGGCCTGCGAGGGCGCTGTGGGTGACCTGCAGCAGGGGGCTTGGGAAAGGCAGAGGAAGGAGGGGCCGGGCTGCGTACCCTCCAGCGGGAGGCTGCACACAGGGCTCCTGGTTTGGGGGCTGCTGGTGGCACACCCCAGGCTCCAGGGGACAGTGGGACAGATGGGGGGGGGGAGGGCAGGCAGCAGAAACTGAGGGTCTGAAAGTGCAGCCCCGTGGAGCACGTGGCTGGGCACCGGGCCAGGGGCCAAGGGCAGGTCCGGTTCTGGCGTGGGATAGTGGCAGCACAGAGTTCTGGTCAGGGCCATTTGGAGGTGAGCGGATGGAGGCATAGGGCTGGCTCGGGGCCCGAGGAGGATGCTGACATGACAGGCCACGTTTAGAGTTGTAATGAGTGTTGATGGCACTGTGACACCCTGGGGTGGGCCAGCGGAGTATCTGCCATGTGGCCAGTGGGCCCTCACACCCACCAGCAGTGCTGGGCGGTGGTCTTGTTACCTGCACCCCAGACATGCACCAGGTGCAAGCTGCTTTCTTCAGAAGTTGGAGTTACATTTTACCATTATCTTGCAGTATAAATTGTTGGGACTGGGTACCGGCGATGGACTGAAGATGAAATTATAGCATCGCCTGCTTCCTTTTGGGATAAAATTTGAAAATGGAGCCGGCCTTGGCATCTCCCCAGCATCGCCGTCAGCTCTGTGGGTCCAGGGACAGTTTGTGTCTGCGTGTTATGTCTGTGGGAGCGTGCGTGACCTCCAGTCACGTGTCTTTGCGTGTTACCCCTGTGGGAGCACGTGTGACCTCCAGTCACGTGTCTTTGCGTGTTACCCCTGCAGGAGCACGTGTGACCTCCAGTCACGTGTCTTTGCGTGTGACCCCTGCAGGAGCATGCATGACCTCCAGGCACGGGGTCTTTTGCGGGTGTCGGTTGGGTTTCAGTCAGGCTCAGTCTGAGAACCAGCCCCTTCAGGGAGGCCGGCGTGTCCCACACACTCTGCTTCCTGGTCCAGGTGCCCTACGAAACACTGAACAAACGCTTTCGAGCTGCTCAGAAGAACATCGACCGTGAGACGAGCCACGTCACCATGGTGGTGGCTGAGCTGGAGAAGACCCTGAGCAGCTGCCCTGCCGTGGACTCGGTGGTCAGCCTTCTGGATGGTGTGGTGGAGAAGCTGAGCGTCCTCAAGAGGAAGGTCAGTGCGGTGTGGCCCTGGCCTGCCCCGCTTGTCCTGAGAAGGGCTGTCTCTGCGGGAGCAGGGACAGCGGGGCTGGGAGAGCTGTGCCGCCTGCGCCCGTGGCCCAGCTTCCTTCGCCCGAGAGCGGCAGCAGATCAATTTATTATTTTTAGAATTTCATTTCAAAACAGCAGGTAGGGTTTCTTGTCTCTGGGAATGGTAGATAGGGCGTTTGGACCTATGCCCATGAGAGCAGCCCAGTGTGCTGGGACATTTTAAAACATCTTACTGAGCGTGTCCTGAGGAGGAAGGGTTCACCAGAATTGGGGGGCAGGGTTATTGTCGCTGCTCGAGGTGCTGGCCGCCTGAGCACACGTGAACCCCTTCGGGTGCCTAGTGGGGGGCCTCCGGAGCAGGGGCCCAGGAGCGGACGCCCAGAGAGCACCGCAGCCCTCCCGCCGGGCGTGGTGCCAGGCAGAGTGGATGCAGTTCTGCTGTGAGCATGTGAGTGTTCGAGCACAGCACCAAGTACGTCAGAGGGAGCCAGGGACACAGGACACCGTGACCGAGGCATAGCAGAAGGAGAGGTACACAGGCTTCAGGTACAGAAGTGATCAGGTCCCTTAGTGTCCGTGTGTAAAGGTAAATAACAGCTTGAAAGTACCCCCCGAGAGCAGAATGTATGAAAAGTGATTCAGATTTAAAAAATAAAATTTTGAAAATGAAAAGCTGCTTATACCAAACATTCTAATACTGAAGCATCAGATGGAGCTGCAGTGAGGGTCAGTGAGCTGTTGGGTGGGCCTGGAGCTTCAGAGGGTGCAGCAGAGACGTCGGGATGAAATGCAGGAGGGCGAGGCGTGAGCAGAGGTGAGGCTGCCCGGTGTCCAGGACAGGGCGGGGGCAGAGACAGCCCAGGGAGAGGGGCCCAGGGGTTTTCAGAGCTGACGACAATCACCACTTCAGACCGTGGCACAAAGGAAAAAAAACCTGCGTAGGATTTTCACGCAGTGGAGCAGAAGGGGACAGAACGAGCGGGGAAACAGGAACATCACGCGAGTGGCCAGAGCAAAGCCTGGTTCTGACGAGCAGCAGGTGCCCGACGGCTGCCTTGGGGACAGTGTGGCAGCCAGAAAGCGAGGCGTGCTGGGGGGAGCGAGGGCGGCCGGAACCTCCCGGTGCGATCAGGCGCGCAGTCCTGAGCCACAGGCCACCACCGACTTAAGCTCCTCAGTTGCCCTGGCCACTTCAGGTGGCTGGCAGTGGCTGCTGGCTGGGCAGCGCAGGTCTAGACCATTGCTGCCTACGTTTGTGAATTTTGATTTCAAGGAAAGAAGTCTTAGGAAAGGTGGACGGTCACCTGGTAACGACAGGTGGTTTAACCCAGAAGCGGCGACAGGTTTGAGGGCGGATAGGTGTCCGGGCAGCAGAGCTGCAGCCTACAAGAGCCCCGGTGGCGCCCGGGTGGGAGGCGCAGGTCCACAGTGTGGCGGGTGTCCACGTGCCTCTCGGTAGGGACGGGCCCCAGTGCCTGTCCCACCTGCGTGGGCAGGTGGGCGGCCTGGGGGGCATCCGGCCTGAGCTCCCTGTGCTCACCCGGGCAGGCGGTGGAGTCAGTCCAGGCAGAGGACGAGAGCGCCCAGCTCTGCAAGCGCAGGATCGAGCACCTGAAGGAGCACAGCAGCGACCAGCCGGCGGCGGCCGGCCTGTGGAAGAGGAAGCGCATGGACCGCATGATGGCGGAGCACCTGCTGCGCTGCGGCTACTACAACACGGC